TGCATGGAATAAATATTTCTACGAAACCAATATAACTTTTAAATAAATAGATTTTAAATAATTTCGTTTTGTGTTCTTTTTCGTAGAATGAAATTCTACAAATTACGTTTTGCGATATTTTTTGTTTAATATATAATATATTTTGACTTTTGTTAATCGTTATGTTTTGTTTTTCGGTATTTAATTATTTTTAATTATCGCTTTCCTTTATAATTAGTAATTACATTTACAAATTTCAATCATTTTTGGTCAAATATAACTTTATAATCATGACATTATTATAAAGTTTGAAAGTCCTGGACAAAAACACATACAACATACGTATATAGGCATATAGCAAATATACATGGCAAAAATTCATAGCAATACCCAGGCGACTAATAGCACTAGGTATCCAATCATTTTTTATAAGCATATGAAAAAAAACAAAAAAACGAAATGTTTAGAAACAAATGACTTTTATTGTATTTATGTTATTTAAAATATAAGCACGCTGTAGCTGCATACATAATTATATACCTACCCTATATCTTTAGAAATGTTGGAGCCACTACTACAAACACAGAAAGATAAAAGTTGTCCGCGCAAAACAGTTTTTTCTATGTAGTACATTTGGAAGATGAAGACAACACATGCAGGTGTGGTGAAATCCTCTTACGACGGTCGTCGTCAGTGAAGTTGGCCTGGCACATGAAAGGCCCATATGGATCATCTTTTTTAAGTGGCCCCATTATGAAATACAAAGTTTTTGGTGAAAGAATGCTCACCACCTTTTTTCCTTTAAAAATACATTTATTTAAATTCTCATTTTTAGAATTTTTAAACATGCCTATAGATAATAATATATTCAAATTCCTGATATTTTTTGTACTACTATTAAAGAGTGTTTAATGAGTGTTTAAAGAGTGTTTTGTTGGCTATACAAACTTCTATTTTTCAAATGAGAATCTCCTTTTTTACTAAAAATTATTTAGCAGATGATGTTTTTGTAAATGTAGATGTATCTAAATTTACATTATTTTTTTTTACTCTATTAAAAGTAAAAAAAGAAGATTCCTATTTTAAAAACAGAAGTTTGTATTGTAACAACATCGTTCTTAAATGGTATAAAAAATCTCAAGTAATAAACTATGAAATTATTGAAAAATTTTAAACTTCAAAATAATAAATAATAATTATTAATTACACAGAAACGAAATTACGAAAACCAAAATTATATTTATGAATTATATTACCTATAGAATTTTAACATTGAAGACAAATCCTTAAGCATAATATTATTCACGTAAACTTTCAAAAGTAAATGTAAAATCATCATCATTGTTTAATATTAAATTATATATTATATAGGTTTAAGTGTATAGTAATATTATAAATCATACATATTTTTGTATGCAACATTTTCATGCTCGCTGAATCCGACAGCGGAGCCGTTGCAGGGTGGGTCGCCGGGGCCCTCGTGGCCTCGTCTGAGCCCGTTGTTTTTAAGGAGAAATATAAAACCTAACTTAACTTGCAGTAGAACAATTATTCCAAAAAAACCTCCTCCTACTTATTACTTGACACGTTTACTATATTATAGTGCCCTGCTCACACTATAATAGGCAAGCATCGGACCCTGTAAAGAAAAATTGCGTACTGTTAAATATATCGATAATTAATACTTTAGGGGGTCCTTACTCCCTATATAGACCAGGCACACGCCAAGCAAATAAAAAAATGTAGGTTATCCTATAAAAAATGGATGGGCCCCGGCCGCGGCCAAGTAGCCATGGCCAGGCAGACACTGGCACTCGTCGTCATCGATATTATAGTAGGTAGGTATTTATAAAAAATAAAATTCTTCGCGAATCCAAGTTTAACAATATATAGGACATAAAATCACATAGTATAGCTAGGTACATAGGCGCAAATAGCGTTTGAGATTTGGGGGGGCTGAAGCCCTAGGTACTGAATGAAGCATTTATACAAGTATTTAACACCTAAAAATTTTTTTTAGTACAACATAGGTATATCTTATACTGCTTACTTAATTACAATATTGACTGAAAATAAAACTTACTAAATATTTTTTTCAAATGTGCTATTTCATCTACTTATAATAGTTGTCAAAATTATATTTATAATTATACATTATACACCACATAACTTTTAGGAAAACAATAGGAATTATTAATACTGTATATGTGTGGCTTTAGAGCAACAAGTAACAACAAACTAATATAATTATAGAACAAATTTTTATTTAAAAAAATGTTCCCAATACATTTTTAGAGCTGTATTCGTCGGTTGGATTTAGCAAATGTGTTTAATATTATTTCAGTATCTACTAATCTACTATAATATCTTTTTCGATATTCAATATTGCTAAATTAGTAAATCAGCCCTGAGTCATGTTAGCTCTGACATATGTGTTGATCCTTCTCATAGTTGAAAAGGACCTTTCACAAGTGGCCGAGCTCACTGGTAATGTTATTGCCACTTGCATAATTTTAAATAAATTAGGAAATACTTCTTCATTTAGATGTTTTTTGATATTTTCAAAATTGACTTCTTTCATCATGTTTTTCATTACATTAATTTCACATTTTAAGTTTGAAGAATTGATATCAAAAGTATCCTGTACGGCTGTACACAAATATACAAACAAAAACAAAGTAGTTTAAAAAAAAAACCATGTGTGTTACCAGTACGCGCGCGGAAGTTAAACTTCTTTTGAATGGTACACGTGAGTGAGTGAAAAAGAAAGAAAAAAATATTAATTAATTTAAAAAATGAGAAGAAGTATCCGGAATTATTTATTATTGATAGTTTTATTATTTTTTTTATATTTTTATTCGACAGATCGATGGATAATTGTTTGTAGTATTGTTTTTATCCAGACAATAGATTTGTGAGTGAATACCTACTACTAATAATAATAAAAATAAATAATAATCTATAATTAATTATTCATATTAATTAGTATGGCCCGATTATAATATATAATACTAGCTGATCCCGTGCACTTCGTCGCCCTTTAAATGTATCAACTCAATATGAGTTATGACTCAAACTTTGTTCAATTCGTTATTCAATATTCGGTGTAAGTAGGATAAAAAGGATGGTTCTGGCACCAAATTTACTCGTCATACTCGTCATACTCGTCATCCCCCCGATCCTTGCTCGTCCTAGTCATCACCGCCGCCCGATCGCGCACGTGCGCGACGTATATTTTATCCCACCCCGTCTTTGCTCGTCATCGTATAGCGCATGCGTACAACATAGAGTTATCAGTCTCTTATCTAACAGTCATATGATACCATATTATTGTACATATACAATATTATCGTGCATATTATTGTAATATATTTTTCCATTAAATAAATATTGAAAAAAAGATTGGCGAGATCGAACTCACGACCCCCGAGCTATGGTACCGACGCTTTAACCCACTAGGCCACACACCTGTTATACTATTATTATGATTCTTAATGTATATAGCTGTATGAATATTATTGTACACATCTCAATGTAATAACTGGTTGATACATTTATGTATCAACGTCTTATGCTACATGATTGTATTTGTAACACATTTAAGAATAATGTACTTATACAATTACAATCTTCAGGAATATACAGCCAACGACGTGTGTGTTCCGACATACCCTAACAATTCTGGGTAAGTCGACATCTCTTTTAAGGTTTCATCGAGCGTATTGTATTCATGAAATATCTAGAGACCCAGATGTTAGACTAGTCGTGTTTTTAACGTTGATCCGTACATTTGTATTATTTAGTCCTTTTTATTAGTTTTGTTTATTTAAAATTTTTTATATTTTTATATTTTATAAAATAATTATGTGTCGTGTAATTCTTGAAGCCGTCATCTCGCCTAACAGAGGAATTTTAGAAAATGCGTAAGTGTTAGTAATTTTTAATTATTTTGCCATATATTTATATATATATTTTTTATTCAGGGAGATAATTGAGTCGCCAGTCGTTCGGAGGGCTAACCCTGATACTATAATTTTTTTAAGACGGTTGCTTCATGAATATTCACTGATAAATAATTCAGGTGAGAAGAAGAGGATATGGTCGGCACATGCGAGATCGGTTTCTGAACGGTGTAATGTAGAGTTGAAAGTTGTGTGTATGTTGATGCGTGAACGACATTATGATCGAACGATTCCTGAAGATGAGGTTATAGTAAGTTTAAACATACGAATATTCAAATATTGTAGATAATATGATTAGATTTACTAATATCATATAATTTATTATAGATTCAACTATCGTTTCGTGAGTTATTACTCTCATCTAGTACAATCAGGAGGCATACTCAGTACTACATAATTATGCAGTTACTATATGGACTCAGGCGAATTGCGATTTTCGATTCCGAACGCATTAGGGAAAAATTAGAAATGGATTGGACGTTAAATGTCCTAACCATTCTTACATACTTAGATTTCGACTTCGACACTTCTCGCTTCATTCTTCACAGAATAAGATTATTATAAGAATATTTATTAAAAATTAATTTACTAATAAATAATATTTCTTTATTACCATACATCAGTTTATATTATTTCAGAAAAACTATATGCTCACTATCTGTACTCACATAATATCTATTTTTACCTAGCATAATGTTTCTCGAAATATTTGAAAATATTTGAAAAAACCATAATTCTATCAAAGTAAATGTTTAAATCAAATGTTTCTCTCCCTCCTTCACTATAAAAATGTTTGAAATCGAGGGAACGGTCGGTACCTTACTTCATGTGGCTATGAGCGCTCAGTGTGTATCCAGTCTTTAGTCCGGTGTACGCACATTTCGCGTTTACAGTTTTTTATACGAGATTTTTATTTACCATAGTAGGTAAGTATTAATTATTATTATTATTTTTTTTATTTTTCGTTTGTAGTAATCATTACCGGAAAAAATGTGAGTATTTTGTTTTATGTTATTCATAAGATATTTAAGAATTACATATAATTTATTCGACTTTTAGATGTCTAATAATTCTTCGCCGAGTACTCCGATGTATGAAGGAGATGAGTTCAATCGACGTCTGGCGGGAATACCTATGGAAGGTAGTCAAAATACAGATCACCAGTCTCCAGTTGTCATTGAAGTCAACGTGCATGACATTTTCATGTATGGTGAGATGGTAAGTTTATTATTTTTTAAAATAAAATATAAAATAAATTGTTTATTATTATTTAGACTCAATCCGGAGATAGTGGTTACTCCACTGACCAGAACACGCAGGTGGAAAATCGTGACTGGCATAGAGTATTTTCTCCTTTACTACCCTCTGCAAGTCCATCTCCATCTCGACTATCACAGAGGGAGAATAGGGTACGATCTTTGTCACCGGTTCAACCTGTTTTTCTGGAGGAAGCTTCGCCCGATATGTGCACGCCAACAACTCCGAGGGCCTACGCACTGAGGGTAAGAAACGATCTCTTCCCGGACTTAGTTTCTCAGCCCATGGTACCCCCGGAATATAACTTGTTAATTGTCGGGGAAATTTTGAACACGTCGCGGCATTCTGGAGGGCAATCACCAGAAATGTATTGGAGAGATGACGGAAATGATGAGGAGATGATCTGTCATATGGAAGCATATGAAGAAGATGAAGCGCTGAACCGGTGCATGGATTTATATGAAGGGGGGGAGTAATGACTGAATTATTTATTATTTTCAAAATATATGTATATATTTTTATTTTAAAACCACGCATTCTATAATTCATATTTCCAAACTATATTAATATTTTGTTAGCTGGCTATGTTAGTAGTAATTTTGGAGTAGCAGATGCTTGTATTTCTTGGTATGTTAGCAACTAATTTTATATGGCTTCTTCGAGTAACCGACGAAGAAATATCTAGAGAGTCAATGGGAAGAAAATCTATTGTAAGTATATCGATTCGTATCGTAGGATAGAGTCATTGTTATAGCAGGGTTGAAAATAAACCACTATTGTTGGTGAGCACACACGTAGTTAGCTTTAGTAACATAACAACTATTTTTTCTAAAGAAAATGTTGATCAAAATAATTGAGTACATTACTCGAATCAACGATTTATCATAGCCAAAGTCTAAATAATATTTTGGTAATACATGGCTTAACATTTTACCACCTCCAAAAATTCCAGACATCAACGCCCGCTCGGTACCCTGATCCGTCAAGCGCTGATGATCGGTCAGTGTGTATCCAGTCTTTTGCCCGGTGAACACATATTTCGTGATTACGACCTTTAGATTTTTATTTTATCAAGTATATTCTTGTTATATTTTTCTCACTTTTTTTCTTTTAACGAATATAATATTATGTTTAACTGTGGTAAGTGTCCTGCGGTATTCAGCCGAAAGTATAATTTGGATAGACACGAGAAAACGCATAATGCAGTCCGCCTCTCTTGTCCATCTTGCATTTTAGCATTTTCCGACAAGTCTAACTTGGCGCGCCATATGAAGATCAAACATGGTATGTACAGAACATTTGATATACCTATTATAATTTTTTTGAAGATAATTTATTTAGTTTCTTTATTAATTTTTTTTCTTAAGGTATTGCTCGTATACCTACAGTACACTATAATGAGGAAGTTGTTCCTCCACTCCACAGTGTATCCGTCATTCAACCAGAACCAATGACCGTCAGTCGAATAATTCCAGACGGATACATAGAGCTTGCTCCGCAAATACTTGTACCAGACACTCCAGCTGGTCCATCTAGCAGTAGTCAAGTCATGCGGGAATCAGCTATTCTCCCAGTACGCGAAAACGAGCAATGGCTTGATGATGAAGCGAGCGACGAAATATGTGTACCTATAACCAGGTAAATGTAATTCCACGGGTAAATGATTTATAACAGAGTTAATAAGACCGGAGCCTTTATTGTTGTTTCGCTTACGAACGTGAGACATCGTGTGACGCTATCGCTAACATAGCACCTATATTTATAGTGAAAAATTAAAAAAAAAAAAAAAATGCGCTTTATCGAACAAGAGAAAAAACTCCGAATTTATAATATTGATTCTCCCGAGACAATTCAACAGAGACATGGAGAGCTTTTTCCAAATACAATAAGGTCGTTGGTACTTGGGAGCTCGGGGTGTGGTAAAACCAATCTGATATATTTTCTACTAGTTGATGAAAACGGGTTACGATTTGAAAACGTTTACATATACTCCAAAACGTTGGAACAACCAAAATATAAATTATTAAAACGTATTATCGATGGAATAGATGGTATTAAAATTTTTACTTTTTTTGAGAATGATAAAGTAATTTCACCCGAGAAAGTTTTACCAAATTCAATTTTTATCATGGACGATGTTATCGGTGAACAGCAACACGTAATAAGAGAATATTTTTCTCGAGGTCGTCACAATAAAATAGATATTTTTTATCTGGCCCAGAGTTACTCAAAAGTTCCTAAACAGTTGATACGAGATAATGCAAATTTAATAGTATTATTCAAACAGGACGAAACAAATTTAAGACATGTATACAATGAACACTGTTCTGGGGACATGTCATATACACAATTTAAACATTTCTGTGTAACATGTTGGAACCGTGAGAGGTTTACATTTGTTGTTATTTGTAAAGATAGCGATCGTGATAACGGACGTTATCGTTTTGGATTCGATACTTATGTAGTTATATAAGATGAAACAAATAATAAATATTATCATTTAAAACGTAGTCATGACGGAAGCAACTACTGTGTTAGATGAGCTAGTTAAGGCTAAGGAAAGTATTAAACGTAAATATATCGCATTAAAAACCGGATCGGATAATGTTCAACAATTAATGACACAGACATTAAAACCAATTATCGATCCTTTAACTAAAATATCGAATAAACCTCGATTGAACAAAGAAAATATTATCAATAAATCCTCGATTTTGGCCTACAATCAACAAGAAATTGAAAATTGGTTTCAGTCTACAGACTTGGATAAAATCTATGGACCGAAAAAACTTCCAAACGGCCATATTATCTTGGGTAAAAAAGAAGTAAAATTTATAGAAAACGCTATACTTATTGACGGTACTGTTTACCCATCATCATCGGGTCTTAATCAGTTATTATTTTTAAAAAATCCACTTATTTTTACTGATAGCGATTTAGAGGTATATAAATCTATATTAACTCAAACATCGGTACATTTATCTACAGTTGGAAATAAAATAAAAAAGGGTGGCACTAAATATTCATCAATTATTAGTAAATTATTCCCCTCGGGTGGCGAGCTGTCTATGAAATTACAGAAAAATAACTTAGTGTATTGGGATAATCCAAACGAGTTGGTCGACCGATTACGTCTGCTTCTCGCGTCAAAAGCAGCTGGCAATACAAGCGTTTCAAACGAAATAATTTCGATTTTCGACGAATTACACGAGGCCGGACTAATAAAGCGAATTCCCGATGTCTAAACGGGAAATCGCTAACGAACTTCACAAACCAGCAAGGAAAAATTTCACTAGACGTCGAGTTATCGTCTATGGAAAAAATGATTTATGGCAAGCCGACTTGGTTGAAATGATACCATATTCAAAAGTAAATGGTGGTTACAAATACATCCTGGTTGTGATTGATTGTTTTACAAAATTTTCTTGGGCGAAACCGTTAAAGTCTAAGACAGGTAAAGAAGTTACTAGTGCAATGTCTACAATATTACTTGATCGTTCACCGAAACTTTTACAACTCGATAACGGAAAAGAATTTTACAACACTACTTTCGACGCTTTGATGACCAAGTATGGCATACACAAATATTCAACTTTCAGTATTCTAAAGGCCAGCATAGCAGAGAGGTTCAATCGTACTTTGAAGGGAAAAATGTATAAGGAGTTCACTGCCCGTGGCTCTCACGAATGGGTTTCAATTTTACCAAAGTTACTTGACGAATACAATAATTCATACCATAGAACTATAGGAATGACACCAATACAAGCAGATTCCGACCCCGCTTCGGTGGTAATAAAACATCGTGAAATAAATACTGTAAAAATTAAGTTTAAAGTTGGTGATAACGTTCGTATCAGTACACAAAAGGGCGTGTTCACAAAAGGTTATTTACCAAACTGGTCTACGGAAATATTTGAGATTATCAAAATAAATAAAACATTACCCGTTACTTATCAACTACAAGATTATATGGGTAAACCTATAGCTGGTTGTTTTTACTCTGAAGAAATATACAAGACCAATTTCCCAAACGAATATTTAATTGAAAAAATTATACGTAAAAAACAGAATCAAATGTACGTCAAGTGGTTAGGATTCGATAATACACACAATAGTTGGATAAATACACGTGATGTTAAAAAATAGTGTCAGTCGTTTTATAACTATGAACGTGTTCGGTAGTTCTCAGGCGAGCGATGCTAAAAGAATTATATCAGATATTCAATCAAGTAACAAAACGATACTAAATGACGTGAAACTCCAACAGAAAGAAATTGAAACTTTGAAAAATAATATTGTTAATATTCATGTAAAAATACAATTGCTTGAAAATAATATTCAATCAAGTAATAAGTCTTTATTAAATTGTGAAAATCGTATGTCGAAGCTATTTAATGACTGTGCTGACAACAGTACAGCGATCGCTATCTATAGACTTGACGTGGCCCAATTAAAAGCTGAAATAAATCGTATAACCGGAATATTTGATGAAAATTCATTGCCGAATCACGGAACATATATCTCAGAATTAAATTCACGTTTGATAATCCTGGAAGGCAAAAATATTACGAAAACTTGATTTTACACAAAATAAAATAGTTGGGTAGAGTCATGCGGTATTGAAAAATAATTTCAGTCGAGCTGTATACACCATCGCGTTTGGTTATCCTCTGTCAGTGTTAAAAATTAAATATACCTGTAATTATGTCGTCGGGTATCGCAGACATGCAGTGCGTTCTTGGAGCAAACAATAAATATTTTATTAAAGAATTATCTATAGTTGACACAGAATCATTTGCGAGCCAGCACTGGATTTTTAAAAATTCAAAATCTCAGCAGGACAATAAATCTCGTAAAACTAATAAGTGGCTAGAACTTAACTATCATAAACTAACTGTAGAATATGGTGATACTGAATATGAAGAACTAAGTAGAATATTGAACTCTTTAAAGTTCTCTTGCATTTACGTCAAAGGTGAACAGAAAAAACAGCTGCTTACAGAATTTATACCTCAAGTCACACTAATCAACATCGAAGACCTTGGATGTCCACGTTTGGATGAAATATGTGATGGAGAAATTCACCCCTGCTGTATTTTTCATATGGAATTTAATCCAAAACAATGTACATTCTATAAAGTATTTGCTATTAGAAAATGGTTTGTAAATAATTCTTAAAAATTGTTAATGTATACATTTTATTTAATACACATAATAAATAATAATATTATATTTTAACATTGTTTTTTTTATTTATATGTTAACATATATACATACATTTATATATATGTTAACATTTACAAGGTTTTTTAATTAAATATATACTAATATAGTCTTCCCTTGATCTGAAACAGAAAAACATGATTAAATATATTATTAAGTCTAACCATAAAAGAAAAAAAAAAGTATATAAACATAATATTTACATGATATTTATAAATTATTTACATATATAAAACATTTTTCAGGTTATTCATAGGTTATTTAGTTATATAATAATTTAATAAACATATAGACAAAAATAATAACTAAATATAGAAACCAATAATATACATAAACATAATATTTACAGAAAATGACACATGATATTTACAAAGCATTTACAGATATTAAGTATTAATGTTACATGATATTTACAAAGTATTTACAGATATAAAACATTTTTCAGGTTATTCATAGGTTATTTAGTTATATAATAATTTAATAAACATACAGACAAAAATAATAACTAAAATATAGAAACCAATAATATACATAAACATAATATTTTCAGAAAATGTTACATGATTTTACATGATATTTTCAGATTTTAAAATTAAATATAATGTATTCATGTTACTTATAATATAATCAACTATTTTCAAAAAACTTAATATCCTATTCCCTCCATCATTGCTACCATCTCTGCTTCCACCCTCTCAAGTTCCCGCTCAAGTTCTTTAGCTTCCCTATAAAATAAAAAATTAATGTAAGTAAAATTCAATAAAATATATCTTTATTCATTTATCTTACTCTATACGATAATGTCCATGAGCTAAGGTATGTATTTTGTCATCTAGAATGACTCTCTTATCATCATAATTATTGTAGGACAATTTTTTTGTATTGAGTGTCATTAGCTGGTGATTGAATGACCTAATTGAAATATTATGTTTATAAACTTCTAATCCGGGTTCACCAAACAGACACCTCCGATGGTCCTCGAACGTCATGTGGTTATCAACCACATGACGTCTTATACCCTTTGCCCTAATCTCCTCTTTAGGTTGAATGGCTCCTCTCCCCTCGATTTTATATGCATAAGATTTAGCACGGAGTGCGCAGAAAGCTGTCATTATCAACCCGTTCGTTTCATCGGAAAAGTACCCCGGAACCTTACGACGTTCGGCGATATAACAGGGATGATCCTGTGGAAGGTTTGCAGTATCCAACCGGTTAAGTAAAATAGGGTAGTTTAATAGGTCCTCGTAAAAATCATCGGTGAATATATGGTACACCAGTGAATCTAAAATAAAAATAATATGTATGAAAGTAGTTTTATAATATACATAGTTACATATAAATATATATATATTACCAGTGTCAGTATACATGAGGTCGATTTTGTCTCCGTAATGTTTCTGCATTACCTCATAGTGATAGTCATACATCAAACTTTTTGAAACATCAAGGACCGCAAAACCTTAATTTTATAAAAATTATTATATTTGTCATAGTCAAATTCAATATAAAAAATATTTACCTATATATATGGGTTTACAGAATTCAATGATCTTATTTTCTAACGAAACAGCCGAAAGATTTTCCTTGTACGAAGTACAATGTTTGAACGTTGATTTGTTTATAAGTTTTTGTAATCGCCTGTCACTCACTACGATTTCCATTTTTAATCTATGCCTCATCGATTCAAGGGTTTTCCCTGTAAAGTAATAAATTAAGTTTTTAAAAGTTCAAAACAAAAGATCAAAAGTTAAAAGTAACATACCAAATACAGCGTTAATCATGAGCTTAAAAAATTGACTCTCAAAATCATTTTTCGAGTTCTTCCTCAAATTCGTATTCAATAATATATATTCAGCTAACCACCCTGACTGATTGAATTGAATAACTCTATGCACCTATAGTAATAATAATAATAATAATAATAATAATAATATGAAATACATTAAAAATATAAATAGTTTTACTTTTTCGACTATTAATCCGTTTTTAATAGCCTGCTGAAGGTTTCTGTAATGAACAATGTAGTTTTTTTTTGACTCTAGGGTTGCCATCAGTTTTGGAACCTTTGAGCCGAGGGGGGTAGCGTTTTGAGGGAGAAACGGAAAGTCGTTATGCCGATCGTGCACTTCTTTAGGATATGATATATCCACCTCATAAATACGTCCTATAGGTGAAGTGTCGTCTAAATCATTTAATCCTGCAAGCGTAGGTTTAACCCATTTAAATCCGTCAGTGGGCATGTATTGACTCATCGCGTAACCATAGAGATTATTACCTATGAATATTTTATATTAATAAGGTAGGAAAATATTTTTTTTTTAAATTATATTTATTCTTACAATCCTGATACACCAACCACGATTTTTCTTTCTCAGCATCATAATCTGGAACTTTCTCATGGTTTGCGGTCGCATACCGCTTGCTCGCCTGCACCAGTCCTCCACGAATACCTATAAAATAAAAATAATAATAAAAAATCTTTTAAACTTTTTAGACTTAAAAACTTTTTTTCTTACCTTTTTCGAACATTAACAGCATCTCGTAATCTGATAAAAGCTGTAATCTAATTTTTGTCTTTTTCAACATACAATGAAAAGACATTCCTGGAGCAGTATAATAAAAAGCGGGATCGATGGCATAAGCTTTCATACATACATCTCGAAAGTTTTCAAATATGTCAGCAAGCAAAAGCACGTCAATTTTTAAGTATAAATCAGAATATTCTCCTAATGTTTTACACGCAAAGTGCTCCCAAACCACCACAGCGTGATCATACTCCTCGTCTTTAATCGCTTTTTCTTTAAGTGTACTATAAAATTCGTCTTTCCCTGGTAAACTCTCCTCATCTAATTTCCCCCAACTATCCGTATACTCGTAAGGATATACCCCCTTACGAGTAACGAGTGACATATCTCCGGCAGCAAAATGTTTGCCTGTCTCGCGGAATTTGTCAAGGCCTGGGGTTATAAGATTTTCAGCAAGACTTTCCAAGCTCGACGCCATAAACCTCATCGTATCAATAAACCGTATAGTGAAAGTACTACTTAAATATTTTGAAAAAGAAATAAATTTCTCTTCAGTATTCGGGATGACATTAATAGACTTGGTATCGTAAGCTAGTTCAGAAATGATAAAATTAGAGTCATAGTTACTTAAATTGTGTAAGTAACACGGTACAAATTTCGGCTGTTGTAGTATAAGATTGCATTTAGAACAAAGCGTCTGTCTAAATTTACCTGTTAGATGGTCGTGGTCTCTAACTTTTTCACCTCTGAATACTGTACGTTTACATAAATTACATATTTTACACTCTTGGTGTGTTTTTTCTTCTTCATCGCTCATAATTAATGTTATATTAGTTTTCAGTAACTTTTCTATCCGCCTACCTACATCTACGATTGCGTCTACAAAATGTTTGGCTACCTCCTCACAGTCTACATTTCCTCGGTAAATAACCGGTGTTGTCGGAATCATATATTTATCTAACAGTTCTTTTGATACGTTATCAGCCGCCTTAATCAAGAATCCGTAGCTCATAGCTTTATGTCTATGCATGACTGTTGTATTATTCCCCCTACTCTCATCGGTCTTCACTAACAGCGCTTCGAAGTCAGCATATATTACAATAGGATGTCGAACCGTATTTTCCCATGACTTAAATTTGATTTGATCTTCGGGTTTAGGCATTACAGGTAAAATCGCGTTATGGGACCCACAAATTATCATATGCTCGTCAAGCCCCGCTTGACCATTTTTTCTATGTTTAAGCTCTCTATTGTCAAAAGAAGTAAAACATCGCTTACAAAACACGCGACTCGCTACATGCCCCGTCGATTGAGAACGAATAAGCCTAGAAAAATTGCTTATATAAATATAATGCATTTTTTCCTCCTTCGTAATGTAGAGTAAATCAATATGTTCTTCTTTCTCATTGTCGACGACTTTCAGCGGAAAAACAATATACGACTTAGTTTTTAATAGGGGGTTTAATTTTTGCTCCAGTCCATAAACATTAATACTAACAGAAGGATTCTTCCGTTCAAAAATTTTAACTTCGCTCAACGGCGTAGGGAACGATAAACCTGAGAAGTCATATTTTTCAGAATGTTGGTGGTAATTATTTCCGATACGACACCTGTTTCTACCAGTGACATGTTTTGCCAGAACACTCCATTTGAAACAGTGTCGATCTTTATTCTGTGGATTTATCGTCCCCCGTTTTCTCTGAATTTCACCTGGTAAAGAAATATAAGTAACACCATTTCTCTCCATAACCTGATCTCCCTCCCCCTCTTCGCTTTCAATATTTTCGTCACCCCCTTCACTATCATTATTCTCGTCACCTACTCCTCTACCATTATTTTCGTCACCCGCACCTCTACCGTTATTTTCGTCACCCACACCTCTATCGTTATTTTCATTATCGCTGTTTTGTATACACCCAGGACGATTAGAATAACCTGCACCAAGCATAGGTGTATACCTATAAACAGTTAGTATGATGCCATCTATTTTTTGTAATGTAAACCCACTTCCACGTGAAACGTATGTCTCTTCCTCCTCTAATAGTTTTCCGTACTCCTGATCAATTATTTCGCATAAATCCGAATCTAAGAAAATCGCCCTAGCCGAAGTCTTAAACGATCTATTCTCGGACGAGTTTTCAATGTTGATTCGGTGATACGTAGCCTCCAGTTTCAAATTAAATTTAATAGGACTTTTCAGAACAAAAGATTTTAATAATTTGTTTAAATCTAATTTAATTGATGCGAGAAAAGTAATATAATCTCGAATATTTAATACATTTTTTGCGAAATAATTTACTACGATCCTATTATGCGAAGAACTTATCTCAACGAACCCTGCCTCCTGAACTACCTGCATTCGTATTTTTTTTGAATTTTTCGCGGTTTTCGTATTTTCTACGTGTATACGCTTTCCCCTATTTGTAGTAGTATAATAATCTAAAATAATTTTTAAAAATCAGAAAAAAAAAAAAAACCTAATACCACCCTTTCATAATATTAAAAAAAATCTTACCTGACTCATCGCATAGCCCCGCATCCTCAACATATTTCATCGTTTCCACACATATTTCGTCGCTCGCTTCATCATCAAGCCATTGCTCGTTTTCGCGTACTGGGAGAATAGCTGATTCCCGCATGACTTGACTACTGCTAGATGGACCAGCTGGAGTGTCTGGTACAAGTATTTGCGGAGCAAGCTCTATGTATCCGTCTGGAATTATTCGACTGACGGTCATTGGTTCTGGTTGAATGACGGATACACTGTGGAGTGGAGGAACAACTTCCTCATTATAGTGTACTGTAGGTATACGAGCAATACCTTAAGAAAAAAAATTAATAAAGAAACTAAATAAATTATCTTCAAAAAAATTATAATAGGTATATCAAATGTTCTGTACATACCATGTTTGATCTTCATATGGCGCGCCAAGTTAGACTTGTCGGAAAATGCTAAAATGCAAGATGGACAAGAGAGGCGGACTGCATTATGCGTTTTCTCGTGTCTATCCAAATTATACTTTCGGCTGAATACCGCAGGACACTTACCACAGTTAAACATAATATTATATTCGTTAAAAGAAAAAAAGTGAGAAAAATATAACAAGAATATACTTGATAAAATAAAAATCTAAAGGTCGTAATCACGAAATATGTGTTCACCGGGCAAAAGACTGGATACACACTGACCGATCATCAGCGCTTGACGGATCAGGGTACCGAGCGGGCGTTGATGTCTGGAATTTTTGGAGGTGGTAAAATGTTAAGCCATGTATTACCAAAATATTATTTAGACTTTGGCTATGATAAATCGTTGATTCGAGTAATGTACTCAATTATTTTGATCAACATTTTCTTTAGAAAAAATAGTTGTTATGTTACTAAAGCTAACTACGTGTGTGCTCACCAACAATAGTGGTTTATTTTCAACCCTGCTATAACAATGACTCTATCCTACGATACGAATCGATATACTTACAATAGATTTTCTTCCCATTGACTCTCTAGATATTTCTTCGTCGGTTACTCGAAGAAGCCATATAAAATTAGTTGCTAACATACCAAGAAATACAAGCATCTGCTACTCCAAAATTACTACTAACATAGCCAGCTAACAAAATATTAATATAGTTTGGAAATATGAATTATAGAATGCGTGGTTTTAAAATAAAAATATATACATATATTTTGAAAATAATAAATAATTCAGTCATTACTCCCCCCCTTCATATAAATCCATGCACCGGTTCAGCGCTTCATCTTCTTCATATTGTAGTAAGCCAGCTACTACGGAGTAATACCAATTTCATAAGTACATAGTTATTATTATAATATACGATGAATTGGGATTCAGAATTAGGCGTAGTAACATTTGACAGTAACAATAAAATCAGATTCCACAGGTGCATAAATATTATAATAAACGGTAGACCGGCATAGTCGGGTATTAAGAAGGAAATGGGTCCTTCACACCTATGGAGATCAGGCTCACTGAATAACTCATGACGAGAGGGCTGAAATAGTCATTCGTCATTTTTGACAGAAATACTGGACGCATACGATGAATTTAAAATATTAAAGAGTAAAATGACTAAACACAAGTTAGTAATACATTCAATCGGATAAATATTCAATCGTCAATGCGTGGGCTAGAATGATGACTATACGAGTGACATCCGTGAGAACGGAGATATCGCATATGTAGGCAAGGGGTACGGGGAACCTCATATATAAGGGAGCCCGAATCGGCCTGTATTCAGACGTGTACTACCACCCATTAGTGCAAGCACCTTCACGCCACTCTGTTGAATATTATTTGGACTTAGAAAAATTATCGAACATTATAATAAAAATTCACTTTACATTGCATCTGTCTTATCATTCATTGTCTACCACGACTACGACATCAAATAAAGTGTCTGCGACCTGATCTAATAATAACTTGGTTGCCACTTATCTACTGTCAGTACTACGATAGTAGGTACCAAGCATCCAGGCTTATTACACTGGCGCAGTCGAGTACAGGAGGTTCAGGAAGCTAGAGACGAGGCGAGCAGTCAAAGCGGCGGAGTTAAATTTCCAAAGGCGAGTCGAGCAGTCAAGGCAGCGGATTCAACTTCAAAGGCGAGTCCAGCAGTCAAGGCGGCTACATTCAACTTCGGAGATCCAGTCCCGACGCAGCGGCTACACCACGTCAGCAGCTCCACGGAGGTACAGTCGAGGTCTGATCAACCAAGGCGACTCCGGATTCAACGGACAAATTCTAGACGGGCCAGCAGACAATCAGGGAAAGATGAACACAGCAGTGGCAACAGCGTTATTGTGAGTATATTAATTAAGTGAAAATAGATAATTAAATTAGAATTGTATAGCTTGAAGTGCACGTCTCACGTTGATTCATATAAATCAGCGTTTATTTTATACTTGGTGGTGGTGTAAAATATTAGGGAAAAATATTCGAATAAAAATAAATAAAGAAAAAAAAATAGGAAACAAGCTTGGGAAGAACTATATACGTATTTTTGATAGACAGCTGTAGACTGATCTAGGATTTTTATGGTAAATAGACGGCAAGGACCGATCTGAGATTTTTTTTTGTGATAGGCAGCAGGGGACTGACCTAAGTAATTTATGATATTTTGTGATAGACAGCGGAGACTGATCTAATAAATTAAAAGTAGACGGCGATAGGCTGATCTAAGGAATTGATGCACGCGCGTAGCATTTTTAATTATATATGGGAATAATTGATTAAAGGAAAATATTGAATTTTTGAATTGAAATATAGAATGATAGATAATTGTTGAAAGAAATTAAATGATATATATTGAAGAAAATAGATTTGAATTGAAAGGCAGTAGATGACCTTATTAAAGTAATTGACGTCAAATTTTGAAAAGTTTTGGGGAAAAAGAATTAATTATAAGGCTAGCCTAGGATAAGATTTAGTATAATATTACTAAGAGTAAGTTAATAGAATAATAATTAAAAAGTTATTTTTTCTGGTTAAATTAAATTGATAAAGCGCGTAAAATAGGAAATTAAATCATATAGAAAAATATATTAGTAATAAGAAAAATAAGGGGATAGGAAGTCGAATATTATTAAAGGGATATACGGAGTAGCTAACCGGGAGTTGTTTTATTTTATAATATTCGAGCGTAGTACGAGCGCGTACGTAAAAAACATCGCGGAGCAGGGCGAGGGAAACGGGTGAGGAACACCGTATCGAAATTTAACACGCGTAGCATAGGCGGTCGAACGTTTTACGTGTTATTAGATAGGTACTCATCCATTTCAACGTACGACGCGCGTTTACGTAATTTCTTTTTATTATTTGTGCATGATAGTTATTTTATAAGTAGTAATGTTTAAGTATTATTAATTTTGGTGACGGTAGTTACGTATTAATAATTTATAATTAATAATAGTATATATAAGTAGAGTAAACACTATTGGTAATTACTTACGCGGATAGGGAATTAATAATTTAGTAAATATAATTTATTGAAAATTATATATATGTAATGTCTAGATAAATATATGTCAGAATCCGATAGTTCAGATATTGACACTAGTTCTACGGACAGTTCAATAAAAGTTAAAAAATATAAGACTAGGAAAGAAATAAAAGCGGAAATTTTAAAAGACGCTGTAAAGAAAGAATTTTTAGAACGAACTAGGAAACAAGTAATTAAAGCTGAAAAAATTGTTAAGGAAAAATTAGTAAGAACACATAGTTTAACAGAACAAATAGGTACCACGCCACGAAAACAAACCGTAGGACGTTTAGGTACTAGGTCAGATTCAAGCGTAGTTCACGTGCAGTTAGAATCAGTAGTTAAGAAAAAAATGAGTAAAATGGATTTAGATAAAGCAATTGCTATGATACCTATTTGCACGGGCAAAAAGGACGTAGCCGAATTTATAAATATTTGTGAAATCGCAATTAAGGAGACAACGGATGCAGAAATACCGATATTATTGAAAATAATTACTTCTAAGTTAACAGGAAATGCGTTGGAAGTAACAAAATATCGAAATTTAGAAACATGGGGAGCAATAAAAACAATATTAGAGGAGGCATTCGAACAAAAAGTATCGGAGAGGGCCCTATCAATAGCTTTAAACACGGCACGTATGGCCGAGGGAGAAAGTGTAGCAAAATTCGCTAGTAGAATCGAAGAGTTATATTATAAACTCTGCGCGGCAAGTACGGTAGGTTTAACTCAGGCCGAGGCAGATATAGTGAAAAAACAAACAAAGAAACAGGCAATGATCATATTTATGACGGGGTTACCTCATCACCTATATACAGTACTAAAAAGTCGAAATCCCACTACATTGGAACAATGTTTCAAAACGGCGATCGATGAGATGCTTGAATATGAATCAAAAGTAGAAATGGACAAATTACAGAGACAGATTGGTAATGGAAAACAGGCAGGCGTCAATAACGAGGAAAAACGACAAAACGATGGTAACAACGCAGTTAATCGTGGAGGAAACGGTAATTCAAATCAAAATCACAGAAATAATAATTTCAACGGATATAACAACAGATATGTTAACCACAACAACCGCGGTAATTATGGAAATAATAATCGGGGCGGATATGATTCACGCACGGTTAATCGCGGCGGTTATCGAGGCGGAAACAGCTATGGACGAAATTTCAATGTCAATAATGTACAACAAAATAATAATAATCGAAATAACGCAGGGTGCTACACGTGCGGCAAGTCTAATCACTTGGCGCGGGATTGTTGGAGCAATCGACCAAATGCACCACAAAATACGAACAACAACAATCGTGTGGGCGGCACGCGTAATACGAACAACAACAATAATGTTCGTAGGGACAATAACAATACTCAGGGTGTCCATTGTAGTTACTGTAATAAGATAGGTCATGAAATTTCAAACTGCTATACAAAACAGAGAAATGAAAGAAACACGGCGGGAAACGCCAACGGACCATCACCAGTGGGAGTCAGATTGGTCCAAGAAATAATTCAAGACCCACACACAGGATTTTCCACATCACAGCAGAATTAATAGACAATCACATTACTTTAAAATCACCTAGTTTTAATAAGGATCAAATTAAATTATTAGTCGATACTGGGGCGGATCTAAATATAATTAAAATTAATGCATTAAAAGGAAACACTGAAATTAACGAAAACGAAAAAATTTATTTGAAAGGCATTAATGAAAAAATAGTTTCTACAATAGGAAAAGCAGAAATAGAATTAATAATTAATAATGAAGCATTCGAAACCCAATTTTATGTTGTAAATAATATTTTTCCGATTTTGGCAGACGGGATTATTGGTAATAAATTTTTAATTGAAAACCACGCAGTAATAGACGTCGCTAATAACACGTTAACAATAAATAATAATAAAACAGGAAGCGATAGTGATATCTGTTTTACATTAAAACCGCGCTCAGAAACCATAGTACAAATCGATATACCCGATAAAGAAATGAATAATAAAAATATTTTAATAAATAAACAAGAATTAATACCGGACGTATATTGCGCGAACATTTACA